TCGGGCAGCTGAGACAGCATGGTGGGTTATTAATAAAAAACAAAAACATTAGTGGTTCTCGGATAGAACCCGGCGACGGTCCTGAAGACAAGCCAGGACAATCGGACTGGACTGACTTTGGTGCGCAGTTTCCTTTCAATTAGGCAGTCCTTTAACCATGGCAGAAGCATCCCACCTATTTTTGCCTGATTTATTTTGCGTAAGAGGTCATGGCCTATTGTTACTGTCGAGATGCTCCCTGATGTGATCACCAACTACGCTTTCCAATACTTTTGATACCAATGGGAGTGGGGCTACTGGTCTATAACTAGTGGCACTTTGCCTAACTGCGCCGGTGGTACAGCGGTTAAGACTCTCGCCGACCATGCACATGGTACGGGGTTCGGCCCCCTGCCGACGCATACCCTATATCTATGGTCGGCCTGCAAAATTTGGACTACCAACATCACATGCTGAAAATTCCATACCTGTACGGTGTGGAACCAAGCTGCAATAAAAAATATGAAAAAATAAATTGAAAATATTCTCATCCTCAGAAATCGAAGAAAGGATGGCTCCTTTCCACTCCCTCAGCAGTTTCTCTGAATCCATAAAGTGTTACAGCAATTCGCATGGGGGCCTACAGATAGACTCAACACACTGTCATCACACTGATGGTCTGATGTCATCACAAATTGGGGACTTTCCAGATGTGAGTCTCTGCAGCTTCTCTACCGCAATTGCCAGGTTTTTTGGAGAGTAGCCATTAGGTTTCCCTACGGTGAAGTAGTAGTACCACCATTTTGGCTCATATTAATAATACCTACGTTTCTGTTTAACCATTTGGTGAAGGCTAAACCGAATGTTTCAGCCGTTCCCGGACTAGTGAGATATCGACCGTTTGGACCTACTAAGGCGCATACCCCATGGTTGGTTGGTTTTCTCTCCAACATGAATCGGCACAGGCTTTCGGGGTTCACCATGAATTTTTGTCAAGGTTAGCCTGAGATAACCTCCTGCCACTACTCTTGTGTTGCACTGGTTCCCGAGTTCCAGGTGTGCAACCTGGTAAGTCTGACTCTTGGGTATTTTCCACCCAGACCAAGCCCTTCACTGTGCTTGGGGTATACATTGCCTATCTCTCTTCGACCGTCATGACCTTTTCTTCGGTTATGACTAGAGGTATTGATGTGTGGATAATCTCTTCAACCACTTCCCAGTGTTCATCCAAAGATAACTCAGCTGATCAGTAGATATGGTGGGGGTCACTAAGATGAATCGCCCCATTCTGCAGGAACAGAAATATACAAATTAAAGGCTCGAGATATTTCTGATTTTTATGAGGGCTTAGATCTTTATCTTGAAAAAGATAATAATGAACGCCTTGACAGATCATGCTTCTACCTTTAAATATATACCATTCGCTCAGCCTATTGTTGAGACGCGACCACGCGGGATCTGCACAGATTTATGGGGCATCTTATAAATTATCTTGCTATCCATTGTCAGATCTTTAAATACCACTTCAAAATGTCTTATCTCATTCATTTTCCAATAACGTCTTTACTTGATCCTCATTATATTCCATTAAACCTAACATTTTACAGCTCTTTATGACTTATTATATTCCTACTCTCTGAAGGGTACGGTTGTACATTAAATGCACAAAAAGGTATAAAACAAAAACAACTGGCACAACTGAGGATAAATGTATTAAAACCAAAATTGGACATCATGATAGTACGAGGTATATGTGTTGCATTATACATTGCAAATGAACGTTGTCAGCCTAGGGAGTTTTCTTTTTTTAATGCATTTATTAATGACACTTGCACTTACCTATTTCATTACAATTTAATGATTCACCTCAGCACTTTTACTTTTCTAAAACAGCTTTCAATCCCTTGTAAACGTTGTACCTACCTCAATATTGGTTGGTTATCGTATGCCGACAACCACGGGATGAAAACGAAACGAAGTCGATTTTCCCGCTCAACCTGGAGGACAACTGTACAATTCAATAACTATACAGCCTAGTTCAGACAATGTGTATTTATATATATATATCAAATATTTAACTGTTGAAACATTATTAACTTGTAGACAATCTACGATTTGATATTATATCATATTTGATCGTGCCTGTAAAAATGGCATGCATTTTCATGTAAATTTATATGTTTATATGAGAATATACATTATTATTATTCCATGGCCCATTCTGCGTCGGACCTAAGCCTTCAAATTCCGGCGTACTCAGCCCTGCAATAGCACAGATACGGTCACGTAGTGTCCCTCTGTAGGCACTTACAGAGAAGAAGATCAAACCCTTTGACTGCGTGGTCCCACCCCAGACTTCGACATACCTCCCTCGTAATAAGTCAAATAAGCAGCGTGTCAGTCTAAAAAATGACAAAGCATGGGTAACGAAGCACATTCCCAAAGACGTCACGCAGCATATGAGAAGGAATACCCCTTCCCGAACTAGAAGTAACATGCCTAACAACGCACATAACTTGGGAATGCAACGTAGAATGGATCCTCGGGTTACATGGGGCACTAAACGGGACTCATATAGGCACCATATTAACGAAAATTCTCGTCCAGACTCCCGCACTATATATGTTAAACCTCATCAACATAATGAGAACAGGTCGACACTTGATCCCCTCAATAACTTCACTCACTCACGTGACGTGAGCCAATATGCATACGGCTATGAAAGCCCCATGAGGTACAACTACCAGGGTAGTCTTAACACAGGGTACCCAGGTCCAGCAAACTACAACCCAAATTGCAGGGCAGACCATATATCACCAGTAGATCAACGCAGATGCCGACCCATGGATGCTAATAGTCAAAATATGCAACCGGATTATTTTCGGCTGCAGCAAGCAATAGCCCCCCTCGCAGCACAATTTGTCCAGGGAATAGTAAACACGCTGACAATGTCTCATATGAGGATCCCTCCGAACATAACATAGGCAACCAGGAGTTAGGGATAGTAACAAGAAAACCTACTAACTATCCCAACAACCCTGGTTTTCTGAAAATTATGCTTTTAAATGCTCGATCTCTCCTTAACAAAATAACTTCCCTTCGCAGCTTGGTATACATGGAGCGGCCAACACTGATTCTGGTAACTGAAACTTGGCTTACTATTGATATACCTGACACAAAGCTGATGATTGATAACTATAACATCCACAGGAATGACAGAGTGGACAAGAGAGGAGGCGGCTGTCTAATATATGCCTCTAAATCCACTAACTCCAATACCTTTACAAACCTAACTATCGACAAACTCCCAGAATCCAAGTGGATAAGCATCCACACGAATGAAAATAACATTCTTGTGGGATGTATATACAGAGCCCCTAACAGCCCTATAACGACTGATACGGTTATCGGAGAAATACTAGAGGTTGTACCTAAGCTGGAATTCGACTACAAACTAGTTTGTGGCGATTTCAACCTCCCTGGAGTGAACTGGGATACCTGCACTGGACCGAGAACCTACGAGGTGATCCTAGAAGCCATAGATGTAGGAGGATGGAAGCAGTGCGTACGCCTCCCAACACGACACAACAATATACTCGACTTAATCCTCTGTCACAAAATAGAGCCGATCTCGATAGAGGTGAGGGATAAACTCGACAACAGTGACCACAACATACTGTACTGCACCCTACCCTTACAACTAACAACTAAACACACACCTAAGAGTTCCCCGGTTTACTATCAATATAGGGACTATCGAAATGCCGACTGGGAATTCCTACCAACGCTCTTGAGAAGCTCAGACTGGGGTGAATACTTCACCAATAATAACTTAGAAGTAATACTAAATACCTTCTACAAGACAATCAGTTCGGTAAGAGACACAATCGCACCCCTGAAATCTGCCCTAAAGACACCAACTCTGTTCATAGATCGCAAAACGCGAATAAAACTAAGGAAACTAAAAAGGAGATTTTATTTATACAAAGAATTTAATGCATTACACCTGATACACGAAATATTTAAAAATTTCGAGGAGAGACATAAAATGAAAGCACAAGTCGAGGAAAATAAAGCCCTAGAGGGCACCTCTAAAACCCAGGAACTCTGCAAAATCTTGCAAAAACGGATGAAGAAGGGTGAAGAAAACAATATCAGTCATTTAGAACACGAAGATATAATTTATGATGATCCCCAGATCATTAGTGAACTCCTGAGTGAGTGGTTCTCCAATAACACCAAAGCACATCCGTCCCCAATTCTCGACATAACCTGCAAAAATAACTACAAGTTAGGTGAAATAAACTTTAATATACAAAATATAGCATCGGCGGTAAGGACATTAAAAGCTAACAGTAGTTGTGGGATAGACGATATACCATCCGTCATATACAAAAACGGTGGTACGGATATGATTGTATTATTACTTAGAATATTTAATATCTCACTAGTGACCGAAACCTACCCTGAAACTTGGAAAAACACATATATATTACCTAAGCATAAAGGAGGGGCCAAAACTAGTGCATGTAATTATAGGCCTATCAATATAACACCAGTCATATCAAGGATCATGGAGAAAGTAATCAAAGACCAAATGTCAGACTACTTTCTAAAACATAAACTCATCAACCTGTCACAACACGGATTCCTCAAGAAAAGATCTTGCGTCACTTGCCATATAGACTTTTTCAACGAAGTCACCTATAGAAGAGATAGGAGAGAGCTAGTGATTATCCTCTATTTCGATATAAGGAAAGCCTTCGACAGAGTCCCACATAGTCTGTTAGTCGGTAGGCTATGCTCACTAGGGATACGCAACCCCCTCTACAATTGGATAAAATCATTTCTGTATGACAGGAATCAGACAACTAAAGTTGGCTCAATGACCTCCAGACCTAGACCAATCAGCAGTGGTGTCATCCAGGGGAGTGTATTGGGACCCCTTCTTTTCATTATATACATAAACAGTATATGTGAATGTTTTAGTATAGGCAAGCCAATACTGTATGCAGATGACTTGAAGGTGACATATACCTGCACAAATACAGATATCGGCCCAACTATGAACTCCATACATGAAGAATTAGCAAAAATGGATAGATGGTGTGACACGTGGAGACTTGAGTTTAATGTTGAAAAGTGTGGATGGCTCTGCATAGGCTGTTCCAACCTTGACCTCAACCTAGCAATTCAGGGCCACAAAATCCCCAGACTCAAATCTGTACTAGACCTAGGACTGAAATATTCACACAATCTATCATTTTCAGAGCATATCTCGAATCAAGTGTCGAAATCACGAAGGCTTATTGGTTTCCTACTCAGGAACTTCTACAGAAACGAGTCCAGAATACTACTGTACAAGGTATGTGTGCGCCCACTCCTAGATTACTGCTCATTCATATTCAGCAGTACACGCATAGAAGACAAACTGAAAGTAGAAGGAGTACAGAGGTACTTCACGCGAAAAGTACTCGGAACCGATAACGGCACAAACTACTCTACCAGATGTGAAATCCTGGGACTAGAAACATTATGGTTAAGGCGACTGCGACTAAATCTGTTACTCTTCTATAAGCTTCTTAACCAAATAGTGTATACCCCTGCTAACTATACTCGGTCCTCAGGTAACACAGGATACAACCTTAGGCACACTAAAGGTACAGTGGCTATAGAACCATGTAAAACAGCCACCAGGCAAAAGTTTTTCTTGATTAGGTATGCCCAAATATGGAACAAACTACCTGAGAAAATACGACTAGCAAGCACATTGGCCTCCTTTGAAAAGGCACTTAATGACACACTAAGTGAGTTTGTAATTGATACCAATGGTAATTCCCATGTAAGAGTTTCAGAAATCATAGGCCCATTTAATGTATGAACTCAGAGACTACACCTGTTGTTTGTTTTGTCTCTATTTATAATTCCAGACAAAAAAGCAGCAGTCATGACAATAACACCCATTCAACCAAGAGTCGTTCAAACTATGTCTACCTGATACAAAGGGCGAACCATAATCAACATACGAATGAAATATGAGAAAACAAGGTAGAAACTTACCGCAACACCACATGAAAAGATAAAAGTTACTTGGATATCATATATAATCCACCAACTGGTCTCCTACCCAAAAAGAATGCGGCGATGTTTTATCCAAAAAGGCGAGGAAATACATAAACCCACAGCAGCTGTTGTTAACACTCAGTGGGGGTAGGAGCCAACAAAGTAATCCTTTCAAAGCACATGTATACTTCAAATGGGCACGGAGACTTTGTAGAATACGTCATAATCCAAATCACTGCCTCTACAGCGCAAATAAACCTGGATATCTATGATATAACGAAGACATGCTGAAAGCTGCATCTCAGATCAAGTTGACTCATTCCATGGTAATGATCTCCTCCTGCGTGCCTTATTCGACATATTGAATGGAATGGTTCGCAGTTATTCTGGTACTAGATCGAAAAGAATAAAAAATTCACCGGTTGCTGAATCAAAAATTAATTCCAAACCATTTATCCCATAATCACTCAAATTCCAGGAACGATCCAATTCTACCATTTAAAAAAGGGTGACTCTAAAGAATAGCGGCCCAAACCGAAACGACCTTTTAACGCAAAAATGACCTTGACAGGGACAACTTCGGCCAATGAGAAGGCTCAAAAAGAAAGGCGCATAATTGTAAAAAACGGTTTATATATAAAAGTAGTGCAATCATAATAAACAGTTACAAAGGATGCCGTTCGCGTATATGTTCCAAGAAAACCTAGTTTCTCATGGGAGTCTTCATAGTCATATGAAAGCAGTTTCGGTACATAAATTCATCCAGGTAACTGTAAATCATGGGATTTCTCGATCCATTAACCGCTCTTATACATCTTTTTAGACGACTCCAACAACTTTCAATGGAACTGGTGTGGGTTCCATCCGAAGGATTCCGGAAACCGTCCGTATGATTAACAACATGATGAATGTACCCATGATTCGATAATTGACGGTATCCTCTCCATTCATCTGTATGAATAGCCGTCCCCGGCAACACCAAACGCTTGTTAATAGGCACTAATACTGCTGCACTGCGATTGGGAATCGCTTCTATATATACTTTGCGCAGTGTCGTGTCGTAGATACCTAGTATCCACTGCTGGTTTGCTTGTAATCTCCCGCGGTTGTATTTCCTTTTTATAAGTACAGTCTCATCAATATGGACTATGCTGCCGACTCCTCCAAGAACTTGAGTCAGGGTGTTCATTTTCTAGGAGGAAACATCTCTGCAGTAGTTGTACCATTGCACTGCTGACACCTTTGAATTTTCTGTTTCATAAGCTGTAGCTGTGACTGCTCTTTTCAGGACCAAGAAGTTACAGATCATTAAAATTTTCGTCAAAGGTAGTTTAGACCTTGAGAGAAAAATTCCTAAGGGATCTGTAAACCAAAAAACAAAGACAAACCTTCTCGAACCGATTTCCTCTTTCGGCGCTCAATACATCTGTATACAAAGCCATCAATGGCCTCTGTGTATTTTTGTATATGCATAACTCCGCATTGGCAAATTTTCGACAAAGCTATCAGTCCGTTATCCAAACAGTAATCGAAAACATCCATGATTACTTCCGCAAATGATACAGTCAGCTGATTCCTTGCTCAAGGTCACTTTTCTGTTCGAAGGTCGTTTCGATTTGGGCCGCTATTCTTCAGAGTCACCTAAAAAAGGTGGCGGACACGATGTTAATGAGAATTCATGATCTGAAATAAAGAAACAACTGGTTTTCAACATTTTACTCAACTTACGAGTACAGTCCGCCATGCAGACACAAATGGCGCAAATGGAGAATTCTGGAATTGACCTCGGGACCATTTGATGCAGTAAAACAACCCGACATAACCTTATCTAATTTTCGTATCCACGATCAAATTTCTTTCCTGTTATGAAACTACGATAAGACTGCTGCAAAAATGGAATAAATATATCACTGATCTCAACATAATACATCAATAAACTTCAAGCCATGGGTGCTGTTCACAACAAAGTTATATAAGAGAATTGACTTCAAGCTTTATTTTTCCCAGATATCTGTATTACATTCATGTGATCTCTGGGTTTTTTGTTAATGCGAAGACAATTTTTCTATATCTCTTTATGTGCTACACAAACAGACTTTATAGCAGACTGTTCCGACTGACTTTGATTTCAGAAAGAACAACCAAACTGTAAGTCCATTATACATCAAATTATGTGTAATTTATATAATAACTTATCCATGCCTGTACAATAGGTATTTTCCTGCATAAACAGGAAAGAATATATTATTATTATTAAAACAATATTTATGCATGCCTACACAATTGGTGTACCCTACATAGCTAGGGAAAAAAATGTACTTTATTATATAATCTTTGCTAAATATGCTTATTAATATTATGTGTAAATTATCGAATTGATGATGCCTGTAAACTGGCGTCCCTCATGTAAAAAATGAGAATATATATTATTATTATTATTATTACTTCCTAGGGGGTACGATTTCGACATTTTCGACAATTAGCTGGTCGCTAGTTAGGACATAACCCAGTTTTGATGACTTTCCACTAGGGCCCGACTTAGTTTCGCCTCCAATATTCTCAGTTAGTTCTGTGTTACGAATGGTTTACAGCAGATATCGACCGAAATTTTCCTGAGCGTACCCCGAGCCAGGGTTCGGTGATAGGGCAGTGAAATCTCCAGCTATAGTGATTTGGTTATATCCCAAGTCTCGTAGCTCTTCAATGGTGCTGAGCAGAAGCTGATTGTACTCTGCCACACAGGTGGGCGATCGGTAGATGCCTCCCAGTAAATGCTTGATACGGCCTACAGTGAAATGATACCATACGGAGTCAGGGAGTTCGGCAAGTTGTGGGTTCATCCCACGTACGCATTTAATCTGCTTGTCAAAATAAATGGCGACTCCCCTTCCTTGTTATTTCTGTCTCACCGAACCAGAACCATGTCACTTATACTGATTTAGTTGCCGGTTACAGTGGGGGTATTAGCCAGTCTTCATTCAGGATTATTATTTTGAGGTGTAGGTGTGACTCTAGGTTTCTGGGTTTTCCTACTTTTCATCTCAGCCCTCTCACATTCCTATGCAGGCACTTAACAGTGAATCTCACCACCTCAGCGTGTTGTGGGTTAGCTGACGTCACATTCTTGCTGGCTGTCCAATGCAAACAGCCTGTTGTGACCTAGCCCCTTGGATGCAGGTAGGAGAATCGGGTGACAATGGTTGCCATTCAAGCGGCTGAATCGTTTTAGTTTCATTGGAGCTTTGCCGCCTGCTTATTGTTTGATTTCTGCTCTCTCAGATTTGGATATGAACCTTTTACTTTACTCCTGGTCTCGTACCACCGTTGAATTACCAGAGGCAACTGTAACTGAGAGTTTAATTTGACTCTTAATAGCCTCGATGAGCTAATCAATATGAGATGAGTGGGATGAAGTAGCCGGAAAATCAAAATTTCTCCAGAAGCACAAAAGGCCATCTGAGACCACAGCCCCCTCCATTGCTGTACCTCATGCATGTATTTTTCACAAGCAGCGTCAGTTTCCAGCTCCAGAACACCATGTGTGACCATGGAGGTAGAGGGTATTAGTACCGGTGACTCCCTCCCTCCCATGGCCTGCCATTCCCTATTCTTATGTTGGAACTCCTGTCAATAGTTGGTATTTTAGCCACTAACGGCATTCTTTCAGCCACTTTGTCGGAGCCATTAATGAAGGTGGCTTACATTAAGGTACCTGAACACTCTTGTACAGTTTGCACTCCATCATAACAACAGCTGCGCACCCATCGTTCGCAAATATTTCATTCAGATGCTGTGTGCGTTTTAGGAAAAACAATACTACAGGCCCGGTAGTCGCCTTCTTTTCTAAAAGACGCTTTCGAGGTCATATAACGTCTCAAGAGTTTCTTCTTAGTTCAGCGGTTTCACATTGGCTTCCTACGGATGCAGTGTAACAAGCAAAGCAGCAGGCAAACAGATATTGAAAATAGAACACGAGCTGTGCAGAGAACGTTTTTCCATGAGAATAAATTTTAAAAAGTGCAGGACTCCAGTCTTAGAGCCTGTCAGTCATTCTGGTCTTCGTCAATGTTTAAGTTCTGCAATTGTTGTATTTCCTGCTCCAGATAATTGACTCCCGAGTATCTTCCTGTAAGTAGAGAAATTAAAACATTGATTAGTGTTTATCACATAGGTTTTGTTTTTATAACAACAGGTGTAGTACTGTTACAACAGAAGAAAAGAGCCGGCAACGTATCGTTTTATTACGGAAATCGGCACGTATTTATATGTACTTCATGTACATTATTATAGCTTATTCAAGCAGACAAACACAGTCTTCTGATTGGTTGTTTCTAGTTTCTCGGAAAGTTAAGCCATATATCTGCGAATCGTAATTGCCCTCGTTAAGTCTGCTGTGATGAAAATAAAAAGCTTTAACTTTACCTAGTACTTTTTGGTTACTCGGCTTCACATCAGTTGCGTGGCATACCAACAGGTCTTGTTTACCTGAACGAGTGAGGAAGATGCTGCTACAGATGTAGCCCCTGAAGCTTTAGCAGTAGTTCAAGACAGCTGAACTTACCAGACAGAGATCTAATGTAAAAGTGGTAGATGAATTTAATTCGCCGACCAGGAAGATCAGGTTTCCCAATCGGGTAATTCACGAAATAGGTATTTTCCGGTTAGAGAAAAAATCATGTCGTATACTAAGAGCTCGCGTTGATTAGTGACCTCGTGCCAAATCTAACCCTTTTAGCATGGTGTTCAAAAGTTAAAGTAATTAGTAGAAACCCGTTTCATATCTTCTTTTACTTTCCATTAGGTCGGAACATCCATAAATATTTGGTATCTGAGTTAGGGAGACTAGCATGAACCACGCTAGTGTGGCTCGCTCTTTTTGCCGCCAAGTTTTCAATACGTGGAACGAAGTCCCAGGATAACGGAATCTGAACCTGCAGTCGATTTGTACAATTAGGGTAAAGGTGAGCATGGTTACGCAATAAATCATAATTAGAGAATTTTTGAGGAATTTTATGCCTGTCTGATATTAGATGGTTGGAGGCTGTCCGCAGGAAACCTTGTAGCTAGGTTTCGCGCTAGTTGGTACTCACCAGTCGTCTAGGCGCGTCTGCAAACTTTAAGGAAATCACGTCCCTTCCAAGATTTGAACACGCGTCACCCAGTACTGCAGTTAGCGGTGTTACCACTGAGCTATTCGGACTCGCGATTGACCTCCTCCAGGACTGCATTGGATACTATTGATTGGATACTAGTCCTTTATTTGATGCGGATTGAATTCTTTCAGTCAAGTCCTTATGCGTCCACCATGCTGGCTGGCTAGCCATCAAGGTGCACTGAGAGAATTAAGCCTGCATCAAAGATATGCTAGACACATCATGCTAGTTACTGACTAGTGTCCGATCAAAAATGCCTATCTGAAACCTGTTAAATTTAGCTTGATACTGAAATTTCCATCACATAAGCTCTGTCCAAGCAAATTCCGGATGGCTGGCCTTTGGAAAAG